TAAAGATATTGAAATCAGTACACTGTAAAAATTTAGTCTATATGACACAAGAGCATTATTCATCAGTCAGAAAAGGTAAGTAAGTTAGCTCAGTTATACATAAAATGAAGTATTCCATATTTCTCAGCTATCCTAACAACTTCCTGTATTGATTTACCTGATTTCATCAGAAAACACTTTTTTGGTACATCAATGAAGAGTTACTTGAAATGGAAAACAAAATACCATCAAGAAAGCAAAAAATGCCTAACCAAAGCTAGGACTTCCAGAAGCAAAAGATGGAACTGTAATGGCTACTCACATGTAATGGAAAACACAACCTGATAATGGTGGGAAAAGCAAATACTGACATATATTGAATATGTGTGATGGCAAAATTATCTTAGGTCAGACCAAGGAAAGCTGAGAAACTAAAAAAAAAAAACAAAAAAACCAAAACCCAATGAAACTAAATAATCAACCTATGCTATTATTGGATGGTACGTAAACCAGAATCATAGTGCAATTGGAAAAAAAAAAAACAACCTGCATAGTGAACCAACCGAAACAAATTACCAACACTTAGCAAGTGTGTAGGATTTATTTTAAAGTAGGTTTAGATTGCTCCTATGCACTAAATGCCAGCTAACAGCCAGGGTACATTTTTCAGTTCCATGATCCAAAAGGTATTTAGTTGATACTGTCATTAACTTTTCTATGGCATCATACTGAAGTATGATAGTAGGGTCATTTGGGAGAGTTCTTCAAATATTTCTTCAAAGCTTTCAGTGAGGAACTAACACCAAGGTAGATCCATCTAAAAAAATGTAACAGTAACCACATCATACGCGCTGTGTATAAAACAAGTATTCTCCTGCATTAAATGTTTTATCAAAATGCTCATACCCTAAAAAAGTGTATTACAAAGACCCAAGTAAATAGGATCACAGAATCACTAAGGCTGGAAAAAACCTTGAAGATCATTTAGTTCAAACTTTGACCAAAGCCATCATGTCAACTAAATCATAACACTAATTGCCACATCCAGTTGTTTCTGAATCCAAACATACAGTAATATTGAACATATAGTAATGACATAAATTTTTAAGTTAGTCTAAATTAAGACAAAGTAAAGCTATAATGGAAATTACTACAGCACCATTGCAGAAATCCATGTTACAATCCATGATTTTTATGAGAATATGAAAAGAACAAGGGCAGAAATCAGCTGAAGAAACTCTAGCGTGAAGGTGAAGAGACAGTCCAGACAGACTATATATAACACATTCATGATATTTAGTTTCATTTTATTTATATTCACTTCTCCCCTCATAAATACTTGAATATTCTGCAGATATCAGTCTACACCATTACACACAGGAACTGCTGTGGTTTAACACCAGTACAGGGTCTTTCAAGCACGAAAATCATTGCCTTGAGCGCACAATTTAATATCACCTTAAGAGACTCAGTCTACCCAGGATTTCTTCAACTTCAACCTATAGGCACAACTGATGCCAAAATCTATTTTCTAGAATGTGACCAAGTGCACTGATGTTTGCCATGCAAAAAACAAAGACTACTGTAATTAACACACTTTCCAAATATAGAGAACAGTCTCTGAGCTTGAACTGAAGTGTGGAAGTCTGTTAAAGATCTGAGCTCCTTAAAACTTTCCCAAAGTAGACATATAAATGACAATACACTTATTACTTATGTGGGCTTCAGCATATTTTACTGCACATACAGTTTCTCTCCTGCCTTATCATATGTGAAAGGACTTAGGCTTTTCATTCTACTTTGAATAGGAACCTGCACTACCACTAGCATTTACAGATCTATGTAAGTTTAGCATTTATTTTCAGAATTTAATACTGCTTACATAAATACATTTATTTTTAACTATGTTTAAAGGTTGCTGCAGTTACAAAAAAATACTGGATGTGTAAAACAACCATATTATAGTAAACACAGTAACTTGATGTTCTGATGACAATTATGTGGGCTTGAAGGAGAGCAAACTACTTCTACAAGGCACCATGAGAAGGACTACCAAAGGCAAATGCAGGTACAAAATAACAGCTGAAAATGTATCTGTCATGTCTCTATTTTCATCTACTTGCTGATGCACTTGATGCAGATTTCTGTGATGTCTCATAACTGGAAATTTACTGTGCTTTCTAATTGCTATAACTAAATAGTTTAATTAGATTACTGCAGAAGCTTTTCTTCATCCAGAAACATGCACGGTACCATTATTCATAGTACGCTCTGAGAGCTGAGTTTCAGGCATAAATTATCATTTCCTGTTGAATGACAATGGTATTTCCACTCCACTAAAAAGGCCTTTCACTGAAAGACTTTTAATCAGTACGATTAACATGGATCCTAAAGGCCACATCAGACCAAGAGAAAGTAGAGCAATATACAAACAAAGGCCTAAAATTGTAAATTTCAGAAAACTGTGATAAACTGGCGAAGGACTTCAGAATCTCTTTTTGTCTTATTATCCCTAGTATTGATTGAAATCTCTCCACCTTGAAATTGTTGATGAGGACAAATCTATTGAGTCTCATTAAATCCAGCATAGGAATGAAGTCCCCAGAGCATTTGGGACCACTAAAGCAGATGCTACACATTTTAGAAAAATATTCTCTATCCTTGAGAATATAAACTACAGCTGCAATATGAAACAGACATCAATTTATTTCCATAAAAGCTCTAATGTAAAGGAGTTATTGTAGAACATAGCATCCTTAAAATTTCTACTTAGAGAAAAAAAGTACATGAAGTCAACCCAACTTGATAAAACAGGTTACTGATCTTTACATGCTGCTCACTACAGCTAGACTTGAAAATCTGTGGTCCTCAATAAATTTACATATAATTCAAAGCAAGTTTACAACCTCAGATTTATTAGAAATTGTTTTTTTTTAGTTTTTTAGTCTCCCGTTTCATAGTACACATCAACATCAGCACAAAAATATGTTTTTCTCAATGGTATCCTGTTAACATGAACTTTGAATATGTGAACGAACCATACTGCCTGAGCTACAGCACATAGTACCTATCTGACCACTAACAGAGGTCATTGATCTTGCTGTAAGGGACAATATATCATAGGATGTACATGCTGATAGGCTCAATGCCATTTGAAGAAGTAGGAAAATATTCCTTTGTGACTGTATTTATGGAATAGCTGACACATCCTTATCTAGCTGTTGCAGACTGCATATTATTAATGCAGGGAAGACAAACAGAACACAGATTTGTCTGTAATAGTTCGTACCTCTCTCATTGAAGCAAAAAAATAGACATTTATATTATTTCTATAGATGCTGAGTTTTCCAAAAGCCTGCTGTGACTTTAGTAGGACTGTATCTCTTGTGATTTGAAAAATCCACATTACTTGACACAATTACAATTGGCTGTTTTATACAGTTCTGATCAGAAATACAGAATAGGAGTGTCATGATAAATTAATTCCTTTCCCCTTCCAAACTTCTCTTAACTCAACTTGCCACAAATATTAGCTCTATTCCACTGTGACTCAGGAACTTCACTTACTCCTTTTTTCACCGTTTTCTTCTCTTTTTTCCATATTTTTTCCAGGTTTGATATTTTACAAAAGGACAACTTAGCAGTTCCACAATAGTAATTCTACTTTTTCAGTGTCTCAAAGGATTCATTTAACACCTTCAGAAGCACTGACTAGAGAATGGAAAATAAACAACTAGCAACTCCTGACACCTATATTCTCATTCTCTTTTATTCTAGAATTTACTCTGTCTTGTCCTAGATAGATAAATTCCTCCTGCCTTGTACATGTTCTGAACAACTTTGAGAGAAAGTCAACCTGCAGCTTGACTGAGCTACTACTGCAATGCAGAAATTGTTTAATATCATCACTGTATCATCACTGCAATCAAATAAACAGTAGAGTTTTCTAGGGTGTTTGGGGTTTTTCCACTCTTTTTTATATGCAGCAGCTCTTTATGTTGGCATTCCACACAATTTCAAATTACCTTAGCAAACCACATTACATGGTACAGTGTCAAGTACACAAAAATGTGCTGGGCACTACAAACTGTAAATGCTAAACAAATACAGCTTTGGAAGCCCAGTACTGATTCTGGTTTGACTCAGGTCTAGCTTTACAATTTTATTACAATCTGTACATTCTAAGTAAGATTACAAAAGAAGAAAGATTTTTTTGGGAAAAAGCACTGGCAATATACAACTTCAGAAGGCAGTTCCAAGGTAGTAGAAGGCATGTGAAAGTTGTTTATACAAATTCTTCCTTGCCTTCTTCCTTCTTAATCTTTCTAAAAAGGAAGCAAACATATTTTTTGTATTTCTTAGAGACTGAAAAACATATAAATTCATAAACCTGAAAGAAGTTCTGATTAGTGAGTGTTTGACAGATCATTAGAGTGAGCATTTTCCCTGACATTAACCAAAAACATAAAACTTTCTGCAAATGTGCGCATTGTTCCAAATTTGTGAACTAGTTAGCCATTTCAAAAGATATTATAGCAACAATTTTCCAGTTGGTTTTTATAGAGCAGGTTTTGTATTTTAAATCACTAATATTGTTTGCAGTTCACACAAATACTTTGTTTAGTGGAAAGACTATCTTCCCTTGAACTATAAAAATCAATTTGGAGAACTTAGTAATTGAAAGCTCCTATCATACCGAAGGGGAAGAAGAAAAACATAATTAACACCAAGTCTAATAAAGAAATTTATATGCTTGGCAATTCAATCCTATTTTTCTTCAGATGCAAAAGAAACAAAAAAAAATTTTAAGGCTGATCAATTCAATGTATGCAAGGGGGCATATATGCTGGTATGCAATCAGGCCAATATACTCAGATACTCAACTATATTTTGGCAATAATAGAGAATAATAGAGATATAAAAGATGCAACACTACAAAAGAGCTTTGATTACTCTGCGCATTGATATTGTACAGATGGATATTAAAATGAACCCTATGATCATAAAGCAGAATAACATACTTTTTGATATGTTGTTTTAGCTGTGTGAGCATATTCTTGGTCTTGCAGTACTTTTTGTGTATCAGCATTGAGAGCCTCTAGCTGCTTTATCAGCTCAGCCTGCTGTGTTCTATCCTCAATGTTTTGTCTGCAAAGATTCTGTAGCTCCTCTAACTCCTTCCTGTGGAAAACAAGCAATAAAGAGAAATCAAGAAAAAGAACAATGACCTCTGTTAAAAATTTATATGCAAATAATTTTATTGTAGATAATGAGCTTCCTATCTTCATTTATTTTTCTGTCACTTGCCTTACAAACACTGTAAATTACATATAAAATATTTACTATACACTTTTGAGAAACATGTAAAAAACAGCTAAGTTCAGTTAATATGTTTAGTTAATTTAATGGAATGCCTTTCTATTTCCCTGTAATCCTTTAACTGCTCTAAAATAAACAAATTTTCACTACTTCATCTTTTTCTAATCAATATTCAGTTAACTCTTTAGCAGTATGTGTCAAAACGTAAAATACATAGAATACATCAACTGCAAATAAGTTGTTGCATTTTTTGCCTAGAACAATTAGAAAAAGATAAAACTTCTTCCTGAACTCACAGAGTATGTGTGAAGCAACCTTTTTTCTGACATGCATCTACTCCCTAGACACATCAATGTTTGCTGATAAATTACTATTTCTCTGCAGGTACGGCATACTGCAACAACCATAAACAAAGTAAGCAAAACCTTTGGTGCTTATATATATATAATATAACAAAAGCTATATTAAGACAATAATAAGAATGGTGTTGTAATGCAACCATAGGATAGATCTAGTAAAATCACCTTTCTTAATAATTTTACTCTACTTCTGATAGATTTTCAAAATTAAGATCAAAGCACAGTAACACTTTCTATAAATGATTAAAACTTTGAATATTTTCTGCAACATATATTAAAAGTACAGATGACCGTACTAATCCCTGCTTATGTATTTTCTAATTCAAAAGCACATTTCAAACTATTATTATACAGAGATACCAAAATATCTAGTTAGCACTCTAATTAATTTTCTTCCTTCCTTCCTCGAAGAATTGTCTTTTTAACCTGTAACACATGTGTAATATTTCTGTGACTGGAATTACCATTAACAGGCATTATTGTTGCATTTTTCTAATGCTTCTGGAGATATCCAGGTAAAGACTAGTGTATACAGGGTAAGCAGCAATACCAACTTCTTTGTCTCCTTCCAGGGATAACAGAATGACAAATAAACAATTTTAAGGGAAGTTCACAAAAGTTGTTCTTAAAACCTATATCACTAATTAGTTTGTGATTGAATGATTATTCAATGCAGATACATCTGAATAATTATATAATAATTTAAACTACATGCGCAACATGACAGTCAGTTTTTTGTTAAAAAGCACCATTTCAGAAAGCCTGTTAAGAGAGCAACAAAGGATAACACTTTAAGGACACACTAACCATGTTTACTAGAAACACTAAGTCCTGCTATTCTGAATGAATTGTAAAGTAGTTCCCCAAAGTTAAAAAAGGTAGAGATACACTAAAGACTCCTGATGTACAAAAATGCAACTGCAGTATGTACTGCATATGTAATAATTTAATTCTGTTCAGAAGAAAAGCAGCAGAAATATAGACACAGTGATATATTAGCACTTTCTGACAGCTCTACAACAGGCTTCCAAACAAACTCTTCTTTAATTTCCCTGACTGCATGTATATATAATAAAAAATAACACATCTTTTCATTGTAGTTGAAACACAGATTATATTAATTTTGCACAGGTTCTCCAATCAGATCTTCATTTTGTTGTGGAAGGGAAAAACATGAGATAATGTTAAATCCTCAAGACCAGTCTGCTATATTGCTACTCTTTAATTTGTATGCAAACATCAATGCAGTTATCTGTGTCTGTCACCTGAGAATGCAGTATTATGTGTTCTCTAATGGTCTGCTCACAAAGTGTATTAAGGTCAATGGGAATCTTTTTTGTTGACTTTATCAAACTACCAGTTATATCCTTATGGTGAGGCAGTGGGAGGAGGAAATTACATCTTGCAGCCGCACAAGAACCACAGCACAGTCAGAACACATTAGCATGTTTGCTTATGTTAAATTCAAGGCTTTTTAAGTGTAAGGAAATTCAGTCACAGTTCCATTACAATACACTTTATAAATCAAACTTTATTTATTCATATATGTACTTTAACTTGCTTTTGTCTTTAGTGAATGAGGCATTATTTTTACATTGTAAATCAATAGGGCATCCTTCTTTTATTTCACTTTTACAGACCAATACAGAAATTATGCTAACCTTTACTGCACTATTCAGTACCAATGTGCAATACAAACAAATACACATAAATAAACACTTTGATAATAGATTAGCCAAATCAATGAGGGGAGTTTTAAATTAGGAACTGCAGGGATCAAAGATGTTTACGAAATGGCAATTGAGGGAGTTGTGGCCTGGACTGGCAGGCAAAAGCAGACAGATAGATACGGACAGAAAAGACCTTGTGATGAGCAATAGAACATTCAGGGAGGATATTCACTTTACGCACATAAATAATGGAGTGTTGACAATATGATGGAGGTTTGTAAGAGTCTCCCTGTTGAGAGGAGAAATGGTTGATAATGTCTTCTCAAACAGCTCATTCTGAAAGAACCAGTGAAGTTCTGGAGAAATGGGTGTGGGGGTCTTCACGTATATCAAGCCATTCAAGTTTGTTGCAGAACTTCAGGGAAAACCGCGCAGGCTTACTAGACTTACAAATATTAACTTCTCCATCCAGGGTGGGCTTAAAGCTAATTTTCACAGCCATGCAATGCATGATAGGGGTGAGGGGGACACGTCTTACAGGGGCAATGTAGTAGGTGATTCAGGAAGGCTGTACCTTCCTAGAACCTCAGCCAATGGAGAAAGGAGGAGGAGGCAACATGCAGTCAGGAGTTTAGGATAAAGGAGGCTGTGTCTTCCAAAAACCCAAGACAGACCCCATAGGTATATGGCCAAGTGGACTCTCTCCCTTTATTCAAATAAAGTTTATTCTTGCAGGACTCATCTGTCTCCTTTGTAGAAACTGGCCTTTACAGTATGGAAATAAACTCAACTGGCTGCCTATCTGAAGCTGCTGTTCAATTGAAGCTAGCACACCTTCATGGAAGACAACAGGATGACTGAGAGATCTGCCTGCACCTGCTGGACTCACTGGGATCACAGAGACAAGTTGGGACAACTTTCATGACTGAAGCACTGACACGCATGGAGATACAGGTTCTTTAGGAAGGCCTATGTTCAAAAAGAAGGTTCTGGGAAACTAGAGCAGTCAACTACATCTTAGCCCCTGGGAAGGTGATGGACCATGTAATGGAGACATGATCACTGAGAGTCATAAGGGGAAATGATATTTACAGATTCACAGAATATTATTAGGTAGAAAGGGACCACAATGATCATCAAGTACAACTCTTAAGTAAATGGCTAGTACAGGGACTGAACTTTGATGTTGCTAGCACCATGCTCTAACAAACTGGCCTGGCAGCCTTCTCTGAGGGAATTCCTATTGTAGTGGATAAGAGGTGAGCACCAGATGTTCGTTTTGATTGCAATAAGACTATTTTATGGGACTGTCTGTCCCATAAAATGCAATAGACAGACTGATGAGGTATAGGATACATAAGCAAACAGTAAAGTTCCCTTGAACTGGTAGGACTACTGGGTTTGAAGAGATGTAATCAAGGATGCAAAATCCAGTTCAAGGCCAGGCACTAAAAGAGTAGCCTAGGGGCTAACATTAGGGCCAGCACTTTTTAACATTTTCATTAATGACCCAGACTATGAGACAGAATGCCTTGTAGCAACTTTGCTGATGACACAAAAAAGTGGGATGGGACAACAGATGTTTGGCTGCCATTGAGAGGGACCTTCACAGACCATACAAAAGGCTGGACAGAAACCTTATGAAGTACAACAGAGACAAGTGCAAATTACTGCCCATGGGGGGGTTATAATCCTATGTAAAAGCATAATCTGGGAACAGACAAGCTGGAAAGCACCTTATCAGAAAATGCCCTGGGGATCCTAGTGGACACCTGAATGGCCATCAGATAGCAATGTGGTCTTGTGCCAAATGCCAATGACATTCTGAGCTTTGAAGAGGTTACTGCTGCCAGCAGGGCAATGGAGGTGATACAGTGATACTTCCCCTCTAGTCAGAAGTTTTATGGCACATCTTGGTGCTGTGTCTGGTTCTGGGCTCCCCAGTACAAGGAGAAACATGAACATGGCTGGAGAGAGCCAATGAAGGGTCACAAAGATGATTTAAATATTGCAGCACCTGCTGCATAGAGAGCAGCACAGAATACACAGAGAGGCTGGGAAAGCTGGGTCCGCTTAGGCTGGAGAAAGGAAAGTTCAGTGACAACTGAGCTATCAACATCTATAAATACCTGATGGCAATCTAAAAAGAAGATGCAGACAGACATCTTGTAAGTGCTGCTCAGTGACAGGAAAAGAGGCAATAAGCACCAATAAACACCAGATGAAATTACAGATAAACAGAGTAAAGATATTTTTATCCATTGAAAGTGTCCAAACACTGGAAGAGCCTACTCAGAGAGATTGCAGAGTCTCCATTCTTGGACATACTCAGATTGGACACTGCAGCCTGCTGTAGCTGATACTGCTGGAGCAGAGGGCTAGATCTGCTGGAGGAGCATACTACACTATCTCCACAGGTGCCTGCCAGTTTCAGTCACTCAGTGTTCTCTGTGATTCTGTTACTAATTTCCTTGTTCTGGGCTCAGCGTATCCAAAATCAACCTCAAACCTCAAAATATTTATTAACATGCTTACTCAAAATATTTATTAACATGCAAACAATAAATTCTCTACAAGAGAGACACCTTATCCTGTCACTGCAGCAGGATAAGAATGTCAAGTCCTCAGAAAAATTTTCGTCTTGGGTGAGTATGTAACAGAAGAAATAACCAAAAATTACTAATTTAATGTAATGAGTATAGTGAGTGGCATTTAACATATAAGAGCCATTATACACATGCACACATATGTATAATATACAGGTATCTATACATACATAAAGATATATAAAAATAAATACATCTACATATAAATTATATGTAAATATGTATAG